CTTGGAATCTAAAAAGAATAAGGACTGGATCACATGGCTGGCTCAGTCAATGGAGCATGCAACTATTGAGCTCAGGGTTGTGAGTTCCAGCCCTATGTTGGGTGCAGAAATTACTTAAAAACTAAAGACAAATGAGAGAGAGAGTAGATATAGATAGGGTTAGAGATAGATGAATGATAAAAAGAAATGAGGATACAGCTATCTGACCAAGTACAGTCCTGATCATTGTTTCGTATATTCTTTCTGTCTCTCCTTTGTTCTTGATTCTATTTTGCATGACTTCCTGGTAGTCAAAGGGTATGATCTTTGAAAGGTTGATTGTGGTCTGAGAAACCTCTTCTCTTAACCTAGTCATGATAGGAGGACCAGAAAGAGAGGATAGCTGGAAAATTGAAGTGAAATCCTCTGAACAGTTTTATTATTTGGTGAATGGTGGGATCACGATAGATTGAATTATTTTGTGTTCTTCTTTAAACACTACATTTCCAGCCTCTGGTATTTTATTGTCAGAAATGGATTAACAATGAGAACATCAGTGCTCATAATTTTAAGACACAAAGTCAATACTAATTAGATGAGGCTTCCTCTAGTGGCATTTACCAGTGTATTCTTTCTGGACTTTGCACTAATTGAGTAGCACACTACGGGGCTAACTCTTAATTCACCAGGGATGCATTAAGCAATCAGCATGTGACCTCTTTGGCCGACTTTTGGACCTTGTCATTTCTCATTCCTCTCTGTTTTCACTACTTACTACACTGTCACAACCTACCTCTAAACTCAATATTTTAATTTATTATTCATCTCCCATGGTTGTGTGAATTAATTAGGTTCAGCTGGATTCTTGAGATCTTTGCTGAGATTACAGTCATATAGCAGCTGGGGTGGGAGTAATATGGAAGAATGTTCAATGTGGTATCTTCATTCATAGATCTATCAGCCCCACTAGGACAAATGGAACATTTGGGCATCTCTCTCTCTCTCTTTCCATTGCTGCCTCTCCATATGGCCATCTCGACTTTCTTGACAGCATGGTGGTCCTATGGTAATCAAATTTCCTACACTGGGATTGGCTTCCCCCAAACTAGTGTTTGAAAGAGACTCAGGAAGAAACTACAAGATTTTTTTTAACTAAAACTGAAATGTCATGCAAAATCACTTCCTCTGCACTTTATTGTTCAAAAATTGACCTAGCCCAAATTCGATTAAGGGCAGTACACAAAGGCATGAATATAAGAGACATGGTTCATGGCAGGGGTGGGAGTGGGCAGAAAACATCTTTAAAAACTAGTTACCACACCCTCTTCACCAGAATAGTCAAATTTATCTATAAATCAACTATTATGCCACTGCACCAAATGTTTCTAGGAAACATAAAGCCACACAAGTTCTTCTTAGTAAGTGAAAATGTGTAGTTCTTGGTAATGTGTGTGTGTGTGTGTGTGTGTGTGTGTGTGTATGTGTATACACCTATAGGTATATACATATTACCAACTAAATATATCTGGTATTGTGTCAGAGCTGTCCAGTCATAGAATTACCTTTGTTGGCTTATCTTCATTTGGGCCTGTTGCTACTACCAATCAAAATATTTTTGGATTAGAGGCAGTTAACAAGTCACTCAACACATTCATATTACTCTTTTTGTAGTTTTGGTACATAAAATCATAGAATATTTTGTTTATTGAAAGGAGAGTGAGTTCTATTATTATTCATTGAATCAATCAACAAATATTTGTTGAGTCCCTGTGAGCCAGGCCTTGCATTACATAGTACAAAACAGAGACATTTGCTGCTGTGGTTGGATTTTGCCTTCACCACTATCAATACTAGCAATCTAAATACTAACTACATGAGTTCATTCATTCAGATGTTTGGGCACTAGACAAAGCTGTGTTACAGAATAACACTAACAGGGTTAGTGTTAAGTCCTTATTCTGTGCATTATTTCATTTCATTCCGCAAAAGAAGGCTTCAGCCAGAAGGCAGAGTTATTATCCTAGTTTTGTAGTAGTTGAAACTGTGACTCAGGGTAAACAGTGTTCCAAAGTTCAGCTAATTAGTAAATGACGAAGCCTGGATTTGAATCCAGAGCACCATCTATGCAAACCTGCTTTAAAATAATACCATTGCTTTTGTTTCTACTTTCCATGCCTTTGGAGAAATGTTTTCACCATGTGGTAAGGCTATTTTAATTACTCTTTGGCCAAATATATTGACAGCTCTCACCCCATTTCAACTCTGGGCTTCTTTTGATTTCATAGTGACCATTTTTAAAGTCTAAGAAGGATGGATAAAGAAGAATAGAAACTTAGCCTTATTACCATTTAACTGTACCAGTCATCAAAGCTTGACATGCCATACGAGTGCCACATTGCCATTTCCAAGGCACGTAGGTGGGGAGAAGAGCACAACACCTGCCTCCTTATTTTCCTTGCCCATCCCCCTACTCACCTCCCCTCTGGCAACCACCAGTTTGCTCTCTGTATATAAGAGTCTGATTTTTTTTTAAAACCATCCTCTTTAATAAAAGCAATGATGAAATCCAAAAATATTTTTTGGGCACTTGCACTATGCCAGGCTCAGGAAAATTTGGTTCCTAACCTAAGGGGATCTTGGTCTCCAGTGGGAGAGACTAAACAGATGTTTTCCTGGCAGTGCACTCTGATAAGGGAAGCCCACAGGCAGAACCGTTAGCTTAAGGTGGTGAGTACAGGATGGGAGGAATTTTAGAGTCAAAGATTGGAGAAGAAGAGGGGTGAAGTTTCTATCAAGAGTGCACCCTATGTGATGGTTCAAAGTCTAAAGCGTTTCAGGAACTCTAGGGACTGAAATAATTCTGTTTGACAGAAGGGCAACAGGTGTGGAGGAGTGGCCAGAGAAAGAGCAAGGCTGGCCAAGAAGTCAAGAGGAAGGAACTTGTTCATTGCAGCCCTTGTTAGGGAACTTGAATGAGCCACAGTCATTGAATGAGGTTTCGCTAAGTAGTTTGGATTTTAAGTGCAGATGTGGAAAACAGATTAATGTTTAGCCCTTTTAGCCATTCTAACCATGACTTCCCCTTTCATTCTTTACTAAATTGGAAATTATTCTTTTGCTTGGGAATATTTTTCAATATGTACCAAGCATTATAAATGGCTTCCCTTCTATCGCAGCATATTTAGTGTTTATTACAGTCAGTCTCGTCAAATTAAATCACCAGATCTCCAATTGTCTTAATATTAGATGAGCCATTGATTCATCGATTGAGGTATTTATCCAAGAAAAACAAATCTGTTCCCCACTTCATCAGTTCTACGTATTCAAATTTCTGTATCTTTAGATAACAACCCAAGAGATAAGAGACCCTATCAGGAAAAAGTGCTGTACACCACTGATTTCAGCCAGACCATTCAAAACCCTTTACCTACTCTCTAGCCTTATTTTCCAGCTATTCTGAGAAAAAAGGAATTGAAACGGCCTCTCTAGCACACCCAGACGGAGGGTGCAGAAGTCCTGATAGTTTTCTCCACTTGCCAACCCAGACAGGGTGGAGTGGCTGGGAAGGGAGTCAGTGAGGCCCAGAGAGGGGGAAACACAAAACAGACAGGGTGGGGCATCTGGGAAGGGAGGCCAGGAGGCCCAGAGAGAGGCCAGGAGGCCCAGAGAGAGAGAAACACTGTAACAGCAAAGTGACAGAATTGCTTCCTCTGGGCTGCTTCCTGCCCTTTGCAGCAAATGCCTCTTCCCCTCTGTCCGGGCCTTTGAGTGGGTTAAAGAGTCGAAAGAACTTGTGCCCAAAAGAAAGCAAACATCCACTTGCTTTTTCCTTCTGCTCCTTTCTTCCAACTCTTGATAAAAAGCAGTGGGGGTTCATGTATTCTCAGGCGCTTCTCCGAGAGCTTCTGGAATCCCTGGGCTCCCTCAGCCCCACAGTTTCAGCACCTCGGCTCAAGGGCAGGCCCTCCCTCTAACTCCCTTTTTCCCCTCCTTCCACCTGACAGGGACCATAAATAACCAGGGCTCCTGGTGTTACCGGCCGAGAACAAAGTTGAAAGTTTGCCTGGAGCTCCCTGCCACTCCCCGCCTGGGCCACTTCTTTGTTTCCTTCTGTTTTTTCCTCTACCTGGCTCGGCCGTTTGTTCATTTATGTCGGAGAAGAGTCACCTCCTGATTAAACGCAGCGCCCCGCTCGCCGGCTCTCCCTAGATTTAAGGCTGTCTCGGTTACCCGGTTAGGCACCGGGCATTGGTATCAAATTACCGAAAGTCTACACTGGAGCGGTCCTCATATTTACATACAAATAACTCAAGGGCTTGCATTTATGTCACCATTGGGTCCTGCTAGAGGCTTGCCAGCGGAGTTCTTGGTCCAATCAGAAGGAGCTTTGCAAGGATGTCTGCAGAGTGATCAAAAGGGTCTTCTCAATTAAGTGTAGCCAGGTTTTGCTCTTTTTTTATTTTTATTTTTTCTGGTGTGAAAGATCGAAAATCCTTGCACTCTGATGAGTAGAAAAAGATGTGCAAGTCCTCCACTGCCTACGAGAAGACAAAGATGCTGAGCGGGGACCCGGCGGTGGTGGTGAAGACCTGAATACAGCCCAGGGGTCTGTTTGTTTGGGCTGATTCGGAGGTATATTCTAAATCACTGCGTAAGGAATTCCTGGAAACGTCAGGAAAACATTTGATCAGCCCCGCCTGGTGGAAATGGCTTTACCGCAGAGTAAGCTCTTTATTTAAGTTGTACTTGGTGTGTGCTGTTTTTGTTTCATGTGCAGTGAATGTGCAAATAGCCCAGCTGTGAATAGTTACTTAAAATAATCTCTCCGAACCGGGTGGTAGTAGAAAGCAGATCCGTTTAGTTTTTATATTTGCAAAAACAGTAGTTGACAGTGTATTTTTAGACTTGATTGGTAGTTTAAAAGCTAAGTTCTGTGGTTTCCTGGGCTTAAATGAATGGAAATTATAAATGGTACCGAATGAAGGAATGGAAAATAGAGCTGGAACAGATGAATCACTTACCTTTGAGAAAACATAACATACATGCTTTTGAGATCTGTCTCAGCCAGCCACACTTGTGTCCAGAAAGACAAGGGGAGTCGTAAAAAAGAGATAGGTTTGCCTGTTTGCGGAACGAACTTTTCCACAGTCTGTGCTACGTTTTGAAAAGGATGGGAAACGTCCCAGAGGGCAAAAGGTGTTTGAAAAACCTGCTCTGTCACTCTTGGAATGTGGTTTTTCCATGAGGTCATGCTGTGTATATGTAGCTAGTAAAAGTTTTACGAAATTAACTCTTTGTATTGATGGGCAAAGAGCAATTTATATCAGTCCTTCTTTCAAACTGCTGGTCTCTACATTTGGTCTCTACAGAAGGTAGAGCTCTTTCCCAAGTAGGGTTCTAACCCTGGGGCAGCTGGACTGTGATGGGTGTAGAAACAGTTCAAAATTGATGTGTTTCAAGGTTCTCCACTTGAGCAGTAATAGTTCAGATTAAATAACTTGCTAGTTTCTTTCATAAACCCCAAACTGAAATCCTGTGTGTGAAAAGACCATTTTGGAAAGAAGAAAAGTCCATTCCTTTCCCATATATGATTTTCTGGAACAGTAATGGAGAGATGGCTCTTAAATTGCAATCTACGTCCATTCAGACAAGCTGCCCTTGTCATTGTGAGGCATGGAAAGCTAACTACCATAAAAGATCCACCTTCTAGTCAGCTGGGGCTTGAGGAGGGGAAATGAGGTAGGGGAGATGTTTTAAAATGGAAAACTTAACACCAGGTGCTCTTTCGCTATTTAAATTCACTCTTGAAATTATGGACTAATCTCTACCTATGCTTTTTCCTTCTAAATAGCAGTTAAAGATATTATGGGGTGGGGGAATATGAGAAAATGGGTGATTTGCTGATGATCAAAGGAGCGGCTTTCCCCACAATAAGTGCATTTTCAAAAGGTAAGCTTCTGATTGTGGTTTGCTTTGTCCATCCACAGGGGAGGACGCCATGACAGGTGACACGGACAAATACCTGGGGCCCCAGGACCTTAAGGAGCTGGGCGATGATTCTCTCCCTGCAGAGGGCTACATGGGCTTTAGTCTTGGGGCTCGTTCCGCCAGGTATTTTATTGTTGCTGTTTTTCATAGTTAACTTAATACAACCATGATTTGTCATAAACCAAAATCATTCTCATTGTTCACATTATCCCCAAATGTGCTCTTTGGATGAAGATGTGAATTTGGTAGAATGTTCTCGAATGTTCTCAACTCTGGTATACATGCTCTACCGTTTTCTTTTGTGGTCTCTCAGTCCTTGATTTTACGTGATTGAACATGTTGAGTGTTGGTTGTTTTTTTCCCCACCTTGCAGTTATGCTTCAAGCATGATGGCAAAAGAGCTCACTGATAAAACTGGGAGAGTCAGTGTGGTCTCCGTGTTTAAAAATTAAATTTTGTTCCACAGTGAAAGAAAAGTCTTATTTTCCAATAAGTATGAAATATTTGTGTTGATTGTACACTGTTCTCTATCACTGAAAGAATAATTCATGCTCACTTAAAAGAGAGCATTCTAAAAAAGATTACATATAGCTTATTAGAATTGTCTACCAAGTGTTTGGGTATCTCTTCTAAAACCATGCCATTAGTTTGTTTACTAGGGACATGTTAGGAGCGTTACAATGACTTACCCAAAGTCAAGGACAGATGTGGTAGCAAATTCAGCCCTAAAAACTGAAGTATTAAAACTTTGCATATGAAAAACCTTGGCTCAAACTTACCTGACGCTGGTTGAAAGAAACAGGACCTTGTCCAGAATTTGGGGACTTCTTTTCCCTGGTTGGTTTAACAGCATGTTTGCTGACAGTCAAGTTACTTTAAAGCTAATAATTAAACTTTCTAAGCCAGAGCCCTGGGGACATTTTCCTATAGTTTAAGGATCTGATGTAAAAAGTTTCATTGTCTCATAGTAAATGGCACTTCCCACAAAGTAAGACTGGGAGTTGATTCTCACTCAGTGTTGTTGATGTGGCCAAGTTTAGAAATTGAATTGATTTTTCTTTGAGTTAGTCTTTTTATTAACAGAACTTGGAACCTCATGTAACTTCATAGAACTTTTGCTTTATAAATATATTTATCAAAGTCCTTAAAATGTCATTGTAAAAAGTCCTCAAAATCTCATTGTAACAGGATATCATTAATAAGAAGAGGAAAATAACTTTCTAAAAATATGTAGGATCTCATATAATCATACAGAACCACAAGTTACAACTGAAAAACACAGAGTCTCAAAGGATCTCAAGGGAAAATTCTACTTAGAGGCTTACTAGCATTCGTAATCCAATAACTTACTGATTCTCTTCCTCAGATGATATGTAAAAGCTGCATTTTGTGAGTCAGTCACTTGTATATAGAAAATTGTAGAAGCTAACATTCAGAGAGAGATGACACCAGCATATTGTCCTAAGGCTTTCACACTTCTGGTTTCGACTGCACCCGTTATTATTTGTTGCTATTGTATGTAACTCATTTTTTTTACATTGGCAAGTCATGTTATGCTCAGAGCCAAATCTGCAAAAAAAAAAAAAAAATCTGTAATACTAATATATTTCTTAAAGTATTCTTAGAGTATTGCCAAATATTCTGAGTGTAACATTTAAAAAAGAATACATTAAGTGTGTAACTCATTCAACCATAACATTTTTTTCTTTTTTCCTTGTCTGATTTTTTTGCTTTCTACTTCTCCTGTGTTTTTCTAAAAATACTTTAAATTAGTCCCAAGATCAGGTAAGAAGATATGTCACTTTTACAGTGTTTTTCTGCCCTTCCCTGACTCATTTTTCTCATCTTTATTTTCTTCAGCATTGTGCTGTGCTGTGCTGTGCTGTGCTGCGATGTGCTTTTTTTCCCCTGCTCTGCATTAGAAAATCATTTATGTAATTCTGAGAAAATTAGCAAGGAACTAAACGTATGACAAGAAATGTGACTTAATGCAAAATTGAGTACTTGAGGAATTTCTTTCCTTTAACCAAGTTTGTGTAGTGCATGAAGTTACTGAAGAACTTCCACTGGGTTTAAAGAAAAAAATCTTGATTTGAAAAGCAGTTTGTTTGCTGGTTGCTGTTTTGTTTGGGTGTGCTAGGTACATTCATATAATTTTAGACTTCTGAGGCATGTGTTTTTCTAATCCTTCCTGTATTTAACACTTAAGGTATACTGATGGCTACAAATAATATAGTTGACCTTAGTTGAAAACAATTTAATGCTTTCCAGACCTCCATGCAAATATCTAGTTTTAGTAGCTGAAAGGACTTCTCTGAATTAAGGATTCAGAGTGAAGCCTGATGGACATAATGAACTCCATCTGTCTAACGTAACTTGTTGGTCCAGAACAGTGAGGAGCCAGAACTTAGACATTATGTAAAAGAAAGACGTCTTTAGGCTTTTCCATTGACAGCACCCAGTTCTAGGCTCTGTTTCTCAGTTGCCATCCATATAGAAGTTAAAAGAAAGAGGATATTTTAAAAAAATCAATAAATCTTAGATATATTTAAAAGCTGAAATTAAAATGAATATGTGATAGTTTTTTCAACATTTACATGTTTGTTCACATCTATAGTAAAGTTGTTCTTACATCCCACATTAGCAGAGGCAATGGGAACCAGAATTTAAAGAAATGAATGTGGTGTCTCCCAACCATATCACTAGGGCAAATGAAACCTTCCTGTGACTACTTAGAAGTTACGCTAATGGGAGAGCCCCCACATAAGACTACTTAAATTAAAATTAATTACAATTAAATAAAAAGCAGTTCAATTCTTCAGTCACAATAGCCACACCTCAGGTGCTTAGCAGTCTGTACGTGGCCAGTGGTCACCATATTGGACAGTGCCTCTCTTTGCAGAAAGTTCTAATGGTCAGTATCTGCTTTTAGGAAGTTTATATTGTATTTGAGAGATGGTAAGGGAGTAATAGGGGGGAAATGTTTGCAAGTAAAGCAGGAAGAAGAGGAAGAGTTATGTATCATCAGAAGGCCTGCCCATGCAAGTAGCCAGACACATGGCTTACTAGGTAATCTCTGTGCAGAAAGGCAGTCTCTGTCTCTTTTTCTTTTTCTTTTTCTTTTTCTTTTTGCTTCTGCTTCTATATTCCAGTCTCTAATATTGTGCCTTACTTATAAGAGTCAGTGTATTTGTGAACACACTAGATAATGACTGTAGAACGATGGTTATTTTGAGGTCGAAAATCCCCCTGGGATTCTGGTGGAAGGCAAGGCTCTAATCCGAAGAATGTATCTAGTCATTCGTGTGGACCCTTTGAATGATTCCTATAATTCGGGGGCCTCTGTAACTTGATATAAAAATACCCACCTTGGGTAATCTTTAGTATAGGGAGCACTGGGATAAAGAAGTCATTTTGAGCAAAGCAAGGAATCATTCCTTATTTATCTCTTCTTTGCTCTTTTCCCTGTCCCACACATAAGCCAAGGCCACGGCCAAAGCCAACATCTGACTGATTCTACTGGTAAAGATTCAAGAGGCCACATTTAGACTCAGTTTATTACTTACATGGGCAGTGACAGGTGGCAACTTACCACCATCCTGGTCCTCCATACCAATAAGGACAACACCAAAACAAAAGGTTCCATGGTAGTTATGGGATGCTACATTGCAGGAGGTCAACTCGAGACTGCAGCTAAGTGATTTCATGCTGTGCAGCTGTATTCCAAGGAGGGTGGGGCAGGAAGTGTCAGACCTCATTGGCAAGAAGAGGCAGTGAAAAGTTACCTTATGACAGCCTATCATATTAGGTGGGATAGGGAGGCAAGAGGGAGATGGCTTCAAAGCAGCTCCTCACAAGTTTCTGTCCTGTTTGCAGAGGATTAATCACAAGGTGTTCTGGCAAAGCTCAGATTAGTTGTGATCCCAGTCAGCCTGCATGTCTATGTGTATACGTGCAGGCTTCTAGCATCCCTTACTCTATTGTTTTTTTTTTAATTGAGAGGTAATTGACATTACATGTTAGTTTCAGGTATACGAAGTAATGCTGGCCACAGTAAGTCAGGTTAACATCCATCACCACACATAGTCATAAATATTTTTTTCTTGTGATGAAAAATATAAGATCTACTCTCTTAGCAGCTTTCCAATACTTTATCCAGTATTATTAACTAAATCACCATGATATATACCGTATTCCCAGGACTGACTTATTTTATAACTGGAAGTTTGTACCTTTCAATCATCTTCACTCACTTCTCCTGCCACCACCCCCTGCAACCCTATATTGGTTTGTAGTTTAGAGGTCAGTGTATGAGAGGCCCTTCAGGACATCAGAGGGCTTGCACTCTGGGAAAGTCAGGGGCTGTGTAGAGGATTTAAGAGAGGCTGGAGAGGAGAACAGTATAAGGCACAAGGAAGAAAAGAATAGAGTACAGAAAGACAAAATCACTATACATGGAATTTGAATTTTTCGAGGCAAGAAAGATGGCAAAGATCATGTAAGTTACATTCATCATACTATTTCCTTTTTGATGTTTTCCATGAGTACAGCTATAAACCAGAGCTCTTAATAGGTTTAACTCATAGCTGGTTTGCAAAGATTTAGGAACAGACCCATTTGCAGCAGACATAATTCCATTCAGTAGTACAAGGTAAACAGATAAAGGAGACTCTGACATAAGGCCTTACCATAGAAAAAACCTCACAGATTATCAAGAGTTACCTTGTTCTTGTCAGTTACCCTCTTAGTTCAACTGTCATAGTGAAACATCCAGAGTTTTCATTCATTTCATATTGTCACAGATTTAATACCATTTGGCCTAATTTTAAACAAAATCTGATCATGAAATTGTCTAAGCTTAAGAGATTTCCTCAAATTTAAGGAATTTTATTTTTGATGATGTCTTTTCAAGAACAACTTCTGTTGATATTTCTAGCCATCTTGCCTGTTTTCAAAGTTGCATGCATTAATTTTATTTTATTCATCTCATCATCATCCACAACTCTTGAATGGTTAACTGTAAATACAACAGCCTCCGCTCCTTCAGTTCGGATAGGTCGTACACCTTGAACAGAAGCTCCTATGCGCGGGACAGCATGATGATTGAAGAACTCCTTGTACCATCCAAAGAGCAGGTATGCATCCTCCTTAAAATATTGTTGGATTGTTGAACTTTAATTGCTGTGATTGAATCGAGCTCTTTGTTCCATGACAAAATCTGTATCTCTGCATGTTTGATTTTACATTTGTAAACCTTCCTGTACTGCTAGGGAAAGAGGAAAACAATCTATTGTAAAAAAAAAAAAAAAAAAAGAGGGGGGAATCAGTTGTGCCATACCTAGAAATAGCCTGGTCTTTTGCAGATGAATCCCTAAAAGCCCACAGAGAGGAGCTCAGAAAGTCCTAAGAATGACACCAGACATCTTTCTCATTACTAGGTCAAATCTATTTCAATTTTTTTGAAGAGTTGATAATAATTGGTAGCTCAAGTTGCTGACATTATCCACATGAGTGTTTGATTTTCCTAAGCAAATTGTGGGTGCATGCTGGAATTTGCTAGAATTGTTTTTAGCATGTAGTTAAAAATGAGATTGATCAAGTTTTTGATCCCTTAGCTTCAAAGCTGACTGTGATGGGCTTCTTGAGATATGATAGTGTTTTGTTTTCTATCAGAACCTCTGCTGGTGTTCACGCAGTTTCTTCTTTTGATCATTATGGTTGAATAGATGCTAGTTTAATGCAGGAAGTTCCATCAGTGCCGTCCTGCTGCATAGGGGCACAGGGTTGTTCATTATTCTAGATACACAAAATACTTGGTTTTAAATGTGAAGTCATGAGCTAATGATGGGCCATAAAACTAATTTTGAAGGTGACTTATTGTATTCAAGCAATGTAAATAATTAATGAAATCATGCTACATTTATTCACTGAACAATGAAGGTAAATTGGAGCAGGTGAATACGTGATAGTAACATTATCGCCAAGTTAGAAGTTTAAGCAACTGGTAGTCAGATTTCAGGGACTCCCATGTGTTTGGGACATGCTGACTTCCTGATGTACAGAGGTGCATGGAATTTCACAAGAACCTGCAATAAATATTTTATTGCTTTATACTCTCTGGAACATTCTGAGTGAACAGGTTTTACAGAGGTGAATACAGTAGCTATTCAGGGTTTGGTCAGACACAAACAGCCTTTGTAGAATAATTATAGGTGTGATAACATGTCATGGTTTAAGTAGGTATTAGCACTAGAGAAAGCACTTGTTTCAAATAATGGAGCTAAGCTCGTGGGTGTAAGGTGTTGCGCAGGTATTGGCTGAGATTTTTCTGAGGGGCTTCCTCTTGGTTGGCCGTGGTCATTATTTTAGTCGGGTAATTCTGATCTTTTCATGTTCCCAACTGAAATGAGATGTTAGTGGATATATTAATGACACCGGTGTAGAAATGCCTATTATTCTCCATGCCTAAGGAAACCCTACAAAACTTACAAAATTGCAGGTGATAGTAGATTCCTTGGGTATCAGTAACACTTTAGTCTTATATAAAGCATGTGCCTAGTTCTGTATTGGAATCTCAAATGCTTGATTGAACCTAATGATGGTTAATATTTCTGAATACGTATTTACTTGGGGACGAGGGTCTGAAATTGGTACCATCACCCTCATCACCACCATGACCTCACCATCACTGCCACCATCACCGCTACTCCACTTCCAGTTACACTTCCTCTGCATTTCTGCACATCAACTTTAAAATATAGATGATTGCCATGCTACAGGTGACGAACAGGCTTCTGCGGGGTTTTACACCATTACCTCTTAGCTACTGCCAACACCAGCTTACTCAGGGAGGCTGGAAGGGGTAACTTTAATCAGAATGAAGGATTTGTGAAAAGAAAGGATAAAGAGAACTTTAAACGTAAATCTGCTGTTCTCTTGTTGAGTTTGTTGCTTCTTCGGTTTGAAAAGCAACTCTGAGGATGTCGCAGACAGCTCTGTAGACTAGTCAAGGAAAGAAGAGCTTACGACATTTTGAAACCTTTACAAATAAATCTTAAGTTGATAACTGCAGAGGTAGGAAGTTGCTGTCTTCAGTGACTGCAGAGATTCCCATGATCTGACAGGCGTTCCTTGTGGAACACATACATTATACCTGGCCGCACAACTTCATAATAAATTCACCAGAGATTTGGGAAAAAAAAAGTATGAAAGACATGAAGACATGTTAGGGACAAATGAGGACATTTAACAATGTACTAGCTGTATTGTTAGAAAATTATTGTTAGTTTTGTTAACAGTGACAACATTATTGAAGCTCTACAGGGGAATATCTCCGTTCCAGGGGTATGCATGCTGCAGCTTTCAGTAATGAAGTAATCGTTAAGTCAGCCACTAATTTTCAAATGGTTCAGCCAAAAGAAGTATGTATGTGTGGAGAGAGGGAGCTTGTGCAAGCACTAACATGGCAAAATGTTAATGTTGAATTTAGGTGAAGTGTATATGGGTATTTCTTCTACAGTTTTTTCAACTTCTTAATTTGTTTGAATACCTTCAAAACACAAACTTGGAGGGGGAATGGGGAAAACAAAATCTGAAAGAGGTACGTTAACTTATTTAATGTCTGGTATCTCATTTATTATAGAAGAGAGAAGAGGTTAATTCCTCAAAGAGAAGCTGTACTGTGCAAGACTAATGAGAAGGATTTACTTTAGAAGGATGCTTAATAGAAAGCACAGACATTATATTAGAACTAAGTGGCAAACATTATTAGTTTGTATCCATCATGCCTTTAAATCTGTATTTATAAACTTCAAAATGGAGTTTCTCCACAGTATTAATTATGTCTGAAAGCATGCCAGAAGCCTGAAATATTTAGAATTCTTGAAGCAATGACACACAACTTAACTGTCAGATTCAAAACTGCCCTGTCATTGCCCAGTTAAAGTTGCTTGGACACATAAAGTTGAAAATGAATAAAAATTAACTCTCCATGTGTTTTGCTTATTTTCAACAAGAGTAGACATCACCAACACAAGGCATAGTTTGTTGCCCCTTTATTATCCTGCTGCTGATTAATGAGTTTGCACATTAACCACAGTGAAAGTACAGTTGAGACTCAGGATAATTAGCATAGACGTGTTACTCCCATGTTCCTAAGAACCTGTGCTGTTGAAGGCAGGTATAGAGGCCAGAGCTGGGAAGGGTGTTGGGAAAAGTGAGCCCATCCTTGTGCCCTGCTGAGCCTTAGTCATGATCAGTTTATAAACCACTTACTTCTCCCCTGAATAATCAAGAGTGGACTCTTCCCACTGTGATACTGGGTTTTCCATGGACTCCCTGTCCTTTTACCTTCCCTTTACCTTGCAATCAAGAGTCACCTGTAGATATGCCTCAGAAAATATGTATGTAAATAAATCATGCCTTGCATTTGTCAGAAGATTTTATTATATAAAGCAGTAACTGTCAGCCTTGACTGCTCATGAGAATCATCTTGAAGAATTTTTAAGGGCACCTGGGTGGCTCAGTCAGTTGAGTGTTTGACTTCAGCACAGGTCATGATCTTGCAGTTGATGGGTTTGAGCCCCACATTGGGCTTGCTGCTGTCAGCTAGTCAGCGCAGAGCCCGCCTTAGATCCTCTGTCCCTTTCTTTGTTCCCCTCCCCTCTGTGCTCTCCCAAAAAAATAAATAAATATAAAAAACATTTATTAAATATGATTGCTTACCATATAATTTCACTCATATGTGGGATTTAAGAAACAAAAGGAAAAAGAGAGACAAGGAAACAGACTCTAAATTATAGAGAACAAACTGATGGTTATCAGTGGCACGGATGGGTTAAATAGGTGATGGGCATGGGGATTAAGGAGTGCACTTGTGATGAGCATTGGGTAACGTATGGAAGTATTGAATCACTATATCATACACCTGAAACTAATGTAACAAAGTACAGTATTAGAATAAAAGCTTAAAAAGAAAACATGATTGCTCTGTGGCTAGGGGTGGCCCAGCCTAAGATTTTTTAATGCACTGAGAGCTGAAGTCCCTGATTCCTAGTCAGAATCTCCTAAGTAGCAGAAGGAGCGCCTGAGTGGCTCAGTTGGAAGAGCATGACTTTTAAGCTTGGGGTCATGAGTTCAAGCCCCTTGCTGGGTGTAGAGATTACTATAATTTTTTAAGTTTATTTATTTATTTGAGAGAGAGGGAGAGAGAGAGTACGTGAGCAGGGAAGGGGCAGAGAGAGAGGGAGAGAAAGGATCCCAAGCAGACTGCACTGTCAGCACATAGTTCACTGTGAGGCTTGAACTCATGAATGGTGAGATCATAACTTGAACTGAAACCCAGAGTCAGATGCTTCATAGAATGAGCCACCCAGGTGCCCCAAGATTACTAGAATTCTTAATTGGGGCACACATTAGAATCATCAGTGGCTCTTTGGAAAAGATGATGCCTATGGAATCAGAATCTGTCAGGCTGGGTTCCTGGACATGTGTGTTTTTCAAAGCTCCACAGGTGATTCTGGGATGCGTCTCTGCATGAGAATCACTTATTTAAAGCAACCCTGGCTGGGATCTTTTTGTATATTGATCATTCAACATACAATGTATTTGTTTTATAAGCTCTGGTTTGTGTGTGTCAGATCATCTTGGATGACCATCTGTGCTGGGAAAGATTCTTTTCCAAATAGGAAGTAATAAAAGGTACAATTTCAGATTGAAGCCCAGTTGTCTAGGATGAATACAATAGACTGGTTCTTTCATTTCTTCTGACATAATTATTGAAAGCAACTGTCTGGTTTGGCTTATATAATTGCTGTGTGTGATCCACACCAGCCAGTCCCCATTACGTAAATGGAATAACATTCAGTAGATGCTGTGCCACAAGGTATGGTGGTGATGCTTATGGTGATCATGGTGAAAACAGTTCATTTTGAGCTCCTACTATGTGCCAGACAGTATTCTAAGTGTTTTAGTATTATTGACTCATTTGTGTTTCACAAAAACCCTTTGAGATTATTTCTTGGCTCCATTAAAAGAGTGAAGAAACTGAGGCATAGTCAGCTAACTTACCTCAGGGTACATAGGTGATAAATGGCAAAGTCACTGGCCATGTGGCTCCAGGCTGCTTCCTTAGAGG